GGAGTGGACGCAAACTGCTATCTCCAATCAACAAATCTGTCAACGAGAGCCTGAGGGAGCTGCTGGAAGAGCTTACTTTGGAATCGAAAGAGGAAGACGAACATTCTCCTGAATCATCCGAAGGCAGCAACCTCAGTATGGGGGAACGACAGCAACAAACTCCCCGTAACACTCTTCGAACTTTGGCCCAGCCAGTTATCGGGCCAGTCACTTCATGCATCCGTTTGCCGGACGCTGCACGGAACTACGAGCTTAAAATGATTCATTACAATCAGTTGCCGGCATTCCACGGGCTTCCAAGTGAGGATCCACTCAACTTCATCCGGGAATTTTACAATGTCCTCAACACCTTCCCTCTCAATGACCTTGACGACGAGCAGTTGAAGCTGAGATGTTTTCCCGAGACTCTGAAAGACCGGGCCAAGGCCTGGTTCATGACACTTGCACCTGGTTCTCTCACTACATGGACCGAGGTGTATTCGAAGTTCATTGGGAGGTATTACTCCCATCAGAAGACTAAAGAGCTCCGGTCACAGATCGTCTCGTTTGCTCAATTACCGAACGAGTCTCTTCATGAGGCTTGGGAGCGGTTTAAGGATCTCCAACGGCAGTGCCCCCATCACAACCTCTCTCCGGGGCTACTAATGAACTGTTTCTATGATTTCCTCCACCAGAACTTGCAGTATATGGTCGATAACGCGGCGGGAGGAGATATCGGAGCAAGGACAGCCGAGGAGATGTTTGAGATCTTTGAGACGATGAGTACGAACTCATCCCAGAAGAGCACGCGAGGCAAGAGGGCAGTAGTGAACGAGGTCGGTACAAGCAATGATGCGGTGGCCCAACAGCTAGCTGAACTTACTGAGCAGATGAGGCTGCTTACCGCACGAGGGTCTCAGCCGGTTAATACATTCGCTATTGATACTTGTGGGGCGTGTGGAGTCCCAGGGCATAGGTCCGAAGTATGCCCCTCATCTTTCGAGCAGGACCCCAGTGAGCAGTGTGCGGATGCCAGTGCTTTACAAGGATATCAGAATCGGCCAGCCAATGACCCATATTCCAACACGTATAACCCAGGATGGCGGAACCACCCGCACTTCTCGTGGTCAAACAACTCCAACACCCTTCAGCCACCCCGTCCGAACTTCATGCAACAACAACCTCGACCCAGTTTTGTGCCCCGGCCGAACTTTCAGCCACAGCAGCCACATCAACAACAGAGGGGACCAGAAGCGGGGTCGAGCTCGAACCTCCATGAGGACGTTGCCAAGATCCTACAGTTCATGGCGAACAGAGAGCAGCGGGATGCCAATCAGGACGCCTCCATCAAGCGCATTGAGACTCAGTTGGGCCAATTGGCCGCTC